GAGGAGCAAAATATTGGCATATCAGACACGAGACACCAGGAACTAAAAACTTGGTGAAAAATGCCCTTGAGATATTTCTAAAGTAATTACAAAATGTGAGCAAAGAGATACTCATACAGCTATCAGTCAACTCCCAGTCTGGTTAATTACGCTTCTTTTATCGCTCGTTCAGGGTTATTGCATTATTAATGTGTGTGTGTTTGTATGTATGTATATATATATATATATATATATATATATATATATATATATATATTAATATATATATATATATATATATTATATATAAATATAATATATATAAATATATATATATACATACATATATTTATATATACATCCAATTTAAGAGTACTACCTATATTTGGAATAACTGTATTCTCTCGACTGGTGATGCACAGTGTAGACGACAGGCATTAACGCTAATGGACCTTCATATTATTCTGTGACTTAAAGAATGTTTTTTTTTTTTTAATTGGTAGAATGTCTAGCTATGGTAAGCCAGTGAATGCTTGAGCAGTGGTACCTAGCCCCGATGAGTAAGCTGTTGCTTAATAATTTTCCTGTTTTTCGACCCACAAAATACGCTTTTACAGGTCAATTCTCCATACCAATTAGACTTCTTTGTACCATCATGGTCAGCAGCACCACCTTACTAACGATCAATAAACTGCATATTGGTTTCAAAAAGAGCAGACGCACATGTATATTATACCTCCACTGCTTTCATTCGTTATCCAAAGAATACAATGTAATCCCACCCAAAAAGCTAGCGGGAATAATTGGGGTATGAGATAAATGGAAAAAAAAAATGCTCGTTTTCGGTGAAACACTGAGCTGTGGTAGGACTGATATAGATATCCTTGACTTCACTGTGTCTAACATCCCATCCTTTGAAATTTGTACAATTCAGTCCAAGCAGACTGAATTGAGCAAGTGAAAAAATCACTCTTGTAATTTTATGAATATAAGGGGCAAGGCGGAGAGCAACCGTACTGGGAAAATGTATTAAAATTTAACTTTAGAGTGATGTGCACTCATATTGTAGAGGTAGAGGATCTGTTATAAGAGGCCTTATACCCCTGCCCACAGCTGCAAAAATATATTTTCGTGATGGTGCTTACGAGGTGTTTGTGGGTAATAGTTTTTGCTGGTGTTGGCGTGGTAGCTGATAGTGTTTCAATGACAGGTGCAGGTAGTATACCTGGGGTCGTCCCCTTGTTGAATTATCAGTATGTTGACTGAGAATTCGCTTCACTAGGTCACTAGACTGGCAGGGTGATCTTAGAGGCCGATCTCGTTTGAGACAAAGTAAAATAATTAATTTGAATAGGAAATTATAGTCGTTTATTTGTCAATATTGTTTTTGATCATGGTTTTCATTCTCTTAAGGCCGGCCTTTTACCCTTGCAATTTATCCCATGATTTTGATCCAAATAAAGCACAGAGGAAAGTGTTGTCTGAGGATTCAATGACTTGCACCTCTCAAGGCAGCATTCACTTGATCAACGGTGTGTTGGCGTGAGGACACTAGTTTACATTTGGAGGGGTTTAGGGAGAGAGCTAAATTCCCTGCGCGGTCTCTGAATTTTCTACTGCCTCGAGCAGAAATTCTGTGGCAATAGAATTCCATCTTGCAGTTGGTAAAACGCTTTTTGTTTTTTCTTTAACGACATTTCGGGAAAAGAGAGAGGAGTCTTTTTATGAGTTACTGTCATGTTCGTCAGAAAAGTTGTGATTTACTTCTGTATCATGACTGTATAAGTGATAAAGAGAATGGAAATTGAAACGGACAGCTTTGAGTACAGAAAATTGCTTGAGTGAATTAGAATAAGACAAATCCAATTTAATAAGAATTTTCTGATTTGTGAGGTTAGCAACGCATGCACGTCCTGCCTAGATTGATGCTTCGCAGCTTCGTGGAATCCCAAACTCAAGTTGAATAACCTTCAGTACTGAGGCTTCATCTCACGATTGCCAAGCAACAAAGAGGTGATTGATGATTTCAAGAATAACACCGGTTAGGTAAATATTAACGAGAGACGCACTGCAATATTTGTTACCATATTTAAATGATGTGCTGAGGTTTTAATCCTGTGAAACTGCCAGGTAGTGACGGTGGGAGGACACGACTGCTCTATACATTTTTTATTCTGGAGGCATGGTCAAGAGGGTTTATTATATATATATATATATATATATATATATATATATATATATATATATATAAGTTATATTATATATATATTAATGTATATATATATATATAATATAGATATATATATATATATATATATATATTATATATATAAATATATTTTATTATATAAGAGTTTTTATGAGGATAGTGAGGCTCAGGTTAGGGTGTGTAGAAGAGAGGGAGACTACTTCCCAGTAAAAGTAGGTCTTAGACAGGGATGTGTAATGTCACCATGGTTGTTTAATATATTTATAGATGGGTTGTAAAAGAGTAAATGCTGAGGGTGTTCGGGAGAGGGGTGGGGTTAAATTATGAGGAATCAAATACAAAATGGGAATTGACACAGTTGCTTTTTACTGATGATACTGTGCTCATGGGAGTGTGTGTAAAGGTAAAAAGTTGAAAGTGAACAAAGAAAAGAGTAAGGTGATGAGGGTATCAAATGATTTAGATAAAGAAAAATTGGATATCAAATTGGGGAGGAGGAGTATGGAAGAAGTGAATGTTTTCAGATACTTGGGAGTTGACGTGTCGGCGGATGGATTTATGAAGGATGAGGTTAATCATAGAACTGATGAGGGAAAAAAAGGTGAGTGGTGCGTTGAGGTATATGTGGAGGCAAAAAACGTTATCTATGGAGGCAAAGAAGGGAATGTATGAAACATAGTAGTACCAACACTCTTATATGGGTGTGAAGCTTGGGTTGTGAATGCAGCAGCGAGGAGACGGTTGGAGGCAGTGATGTCCTGTCTAAGGGCAATGTGTGGTGTAAATATTATGCAGAAAATTCGGAGTGTGGAAATTAGGAGAAGGTGTGGAGTTAATAAAAGTATTAGTCAGAGGGCTGAAGAGGGGTTGTTGAGGTGGTTTGGTTATTTAGAGAGAATGAATCAAAGTAGAATGACATGGAGAGCGTATAAATCTGTAGGGAAAGGAAGGCGGGGTAGGGGGTCGTCCT